TTTCTACACCATGCCCTTCCACTCCTTCCCTGTCACTCTCTTACCTCTTCTTTTTATTCTCACACCCCTCACTTTCCTTCTTCATTTTTCCTTTCCCTTTCCACCTTTCCCTCCTCCCTCTCCTTCCCTGCCCATATGTCCCAACCAGAATCTAAAGCTACATAATGGAGATAGAAAAGGAAGCACCAGTGATAGAGTGATGAGGGAGATGTCGTAGCAGCACATTACAACATGAAGTAAACATGTTGCCTTTTTATGAAAATTTTATCTGTCTTTGGCCTCCATATTTTCTTATGCTCTGACCTAAAACAAGAATGCAGATAGAGAAAGTCAGAGTGAAGTAACAGATCCTAATTCTTGATTCAGGTTACTGACACAAAAAGTGCTGCATTGACATGTACAACATCCCCATCCAAAAAAATGGTGTAGCTCCTTGGACTTTACCAGAGGGAGGTAACTTTTTCAAGTTGAGCTAAGCAATGTAAGACCTCAATACTACAAAAGCTTTTTGTTGAACCCCTCCCCCTTAATAATTATTGTGAAAATATTTTAACAAGCGTTGTTGTGGATTCCTTGCTTTTTCTGTTCAGAATTAAATTGTTGTTTATTTCGCTATGTCCTTTCCAGACTAATTCCTGAATTCGAAGGTCTAATTTAATTTAATAAAACTAACTGTGATAGTATCAGTTTTTTTTTTTATTATCAGCATTCCTATTGCAGAAAGTCTTTGGAAGAATCTCCCCAAAAATAAAACTCTTATTGCAGATGATGCCTTAAGTTTTACTTGCATCTCAGAGAAGACTTTTGAAAAAAATCAGTGAGACATTCACAGGAGAAGGAAAATACCTTTCTGAGGGCATTTCATACACCAGCAGTGTCCAGACCATCCCCAGTTTGCGATATTGCAGGGTTTTTTTTTTTAAATCATTTTAGGAAACTACAGTGGCTACAGATTGAAATCTAGAAAGGTGATTTTTAACAACATTAGATTACAAAATGGCTTATGTAACAATTGTATATGCTATATATATATATTTTTAAAATGGAGTTTTCCTTTAATGTTCCACAGTTTGCATGCATTGACCTAGTACAAATTGTATTCTTTAGAAAATTTGCACAAATTGTCTTTATAGTTTTTGTTATTGGACAGCTTTTATTGCATTTTTTTAATGTACTCTTGTTTTTCAGAATTGTGGAGCATCTGATTTGATCTGAAGAATGTTTATGTGTTATGAGTCGTGTCAGGGTTGTGGATAATGCTAATTGCCAGAACAATTGCAGACTAGGTCAGTGTTATAATAAAATGTAAGATACATGCCGTGTGTGTGTGTGTGTGTTTTCTCTATTGTAATATACCATGCCACTAAATAAAATCTGGTCCTGAACTGTGAAATGAAGACTGTCATGTGAAATCCTGACATTTCATTGTTTACTTCCAAGAATGCAGCTTTGTAGTGGCTTGATTTACATTTAGCAATATTTGAGTGCAAATAGTAATACACCAAAGTAAACTGGAGCATTTGCAATCCTTCCTTCTGCTCCTTCAATATTGTAGTGCACTTCTATAGATTCCAATCTTGACAGGTGGCATAATTAGAAATTCTCTTTGTCTTATTAAATGTGACGCTTCTCAATAGAATCTCCTTCAACATAGGCGAGAAATAGAAAATTTACTTTAAATCTAAAACGAGAAATCAAGAGGGACTGGTTTATTTTTATCTTTCTTTATGCAAGCAACACCATTATCAAAGGATATTGTAATGCTGAAAATGTACTTTTGGGATTTAAATCACATATTATCTTGGAGAGAGAAAAATAGAGGTTGTAGGCACCACACAATATATTTCCTCATTAATCTGACTGAAAGATTATCCTTCCTATAGCTAGGGAAGTATAATACAAATATATCCATCCTTTCTGGTTGTAAAATTTAGCTTGGTAAGAGGTCATTGTCTTTGGTATAAGGGTGTTCTGACTTTTTTTTACATTCCTGTAAGCCACAAGACATTGGGAGTTACACTTTATTCATAGTAGTCAACCATTTGAAGCACATTTTATTGCTGGAACAGCTTTAAAAAAACATAATATTATTTTTTTATTTCTGTTCTATTTTCTAAATATTCACAGTAGCATACATACACAATACATTGCAATAAAGCAGTGGGGGTTTTAGGTGCACTCTCCAGTATTTTATCCTTTTAATGTTTTGCTTAGATATGGTTGGACACTCAAATAAAGACCAATTGGCTCAAGAGAAAGCTGACCAAGCTTTTGGTCACAGCAATGAGACAGATTTGGGACATCAGAAAGAACTAGATTCCCCTAGTATTCCTTGGAAATTTGAATGTTTAAATATTAATGGGTTGTGTGTTTCAGCAGACTTACCCCTTTAAAGAAAGCTTATTCTGTGATGGTTCAGTGCTAAGCAACAGGTATGCTTTGGTCATCCGTATTCCCTGCAAAATATACTTGCCCAGTCAAATATGGGATTTCACAATTTACATCTGTGAGTCTGGTTATCAGCATAGGAGTTAATTGTCATATTATTTTCATAACTCAGGTTATAATGTAGATAATTTTCTAAAACATTGCTACACTATTGTATCAGGCAATACCAATCAGTTTTATACAATGTACAGAAGATGGATTATAAACATTACACCTTCTTGGCGATGTGTGAGTCCAGTCTATATCATGTTAAGTCTCGCAATTTGGGATTAGGATATAGAAAAACATTAAAATACGTGCCTATACTGTTTAACCCCTTGGCGTAGGTCCTTTAAGGTGTTTCAGATACCCGGAGGCAGGGCAGGTGTTTCTGATCATGTGATCACCATGATTGGCTGTCACAGCAGTCCCTTGATCGGATAGCTCCAGATTGAAAGCAGAGATTGTGAGCTTTCCGTTAGCTGCCAGAACAGTTCTGTTTATCAGTTCTGTTTATCAGTATCAGTTCAGTTCTGTTTAGATACACATATACTGTATGTGGCTTCTCAGTGCTAAGACCCACCCGACGAAAGGCCGCATATATATGCATATGGCCAATGAGAAGGAGTTAAAAAAAACAGTAATACACTGTTTCACCCTGTTCTGCACATGCTCAGTTGCCCTCTATTTTTCATCACTGTCCCAAAAATGCAGAGGCCGATCTGCTGACAGCCTAAGGATTTACTGCTGTTTGGGGTCTGAGATGCAGCAAAATGGTAGCCTCAAGCAATTCTGGAGCCAATGTACAGTATGCAGTAGTTTTGGTAGCATAATTATTAATATGGAATGTATGTTCCTTGCTAAAAAACATTATTTTTTATCAAGTTGATATGAGTTCCGCCTAATGTCCAAAATCTGGACGCAGGTGCACTTTAAATAAGCCCCTGCCATGGTAGTATATAGTAATGGGGAAAGGGGGGTGAATTAGCACTGCACACCAATTTTGTGTCCATATTGTTTTGATTGACATAAAAATATTAATGTGTCAGAGGTAAAGAAAAATGCACAAAAAATACTGAAAATTGCCTTTGAAATTATATTAATGCATTACCAATTACATTAACATGTTAAAGCTTATATGTAATTATTGTAATAAATATTTTACAATTTGGAAATATGCTTAAAAATGCTTTCAATGTTCTTTATGTTATAGCTGTGTGTAGTGTATTGTTGATATGAAATGGAGTAATAGGTTATGTAAATAAGGGAAGTGGTAGGACAGGTAGAGCATTATGTTTTTGTATGCACATATGTTTTGTAATATTTCATTTGTTTTGATATTTGCATGGTTTACAATGTTTTTAAAACTTAAAAAAAAAATTGATTTGTTTAACCACTTCCTCGCTGCCCTATAGCAGAAATACTGCTACAGGGCGGCAGGGCTGTGCAAAATCACATATATATACCGTATTTTCCAGCGTATAAGATGACTTTTTAACCCATGAAAATCTTCTCAAAAGTCGGGGGTCGTCTTATACGCCGGTATACAGCATGCTGACACTTGGTGTCAGGGCGGCACTTTTTAGGGGGCCGGCGCGGTGCTGCCGCCGCCGCCCCCCCCCTTCCAACGGTAGGGACACTAAGTACAGGGGTGGGCAGGGGGCTGCTGTTTCTTACCTGGCTCCGGTCCCAGTCCCACGACGATCCAGTCCAGGAAGCGCGGCTGTTCCTTCATTCAGTTCGGCCGCTCGACTCCGCCTCCTCACCGGTGATTGGGTGCCAGAACTGTAGCTCAGGAAAGGCACACAGGCGGCCAATCACCGGCAAGGATGCGGAGCCGAGCGGCCCTGCGAAAATCGACTGATGGGAGCGGCCGGTAAGTGTGCCGTGCAGAGGTGCTGCTGCAACCACATATGCTGGCTGCAGCAGCACCACCATGCTGGAACAGGGGTCAGCAAGTGTCATTGGTGTCAGTGGGAGGAATAGTGCCCCATCATTGGTGTCACTGATACTAATGATAGGGCATTATTCCTCCCACTGACACCAACAATGGGGCACTATTCCTCCCCCCACTGACACCAACGATGGGGCACTATTCCTCCCCCCCACTGACACCAACGGTGGGGCACTATTCCTCCCCACTGACACCAACGATGGGGCACTATTCCCCCCCCCCCACTGACACCAATGATGGGGCACTATTCTACCCCCACTGACACCAATGATGGAACACTATTCCTTCCCCTACTGACACCAATGATGGGGTACTATTCCTCCCACTGACACCAATGTTGGGACACTATTCCTCCCACTGACACCAATGACAGGGCACTATTCCTCCCACTGACACCAATGATGGGGCACGATTCCTCCCACTGACACCAATGACGGGGGCACACTATTTCTGCCACTGATACCAATGATGGGGCACGATTCCTCCCACTGACACCAATGATGGGGTGCTATTCCTGCCACTGACAGCAATGATGGGGCACGATTCCTCCCACTGACGATCTATTCTCTGACACCAATGATGGGGCACGATTCCTCGCTCTGACACCAATGATGGGGCACTATTCCTCCCAATGACACCAATGATGGGACACTAGTCCTCCCACTGACACCAATGATGGGGCACAATTCTTCCCACTGACACCAATGATGGGGCACTATTTCTCCCACTGACACTGATGGAGTACTATTCCTCCCACTGACACTAATGATGGGACACTATTCCTCACACACTGACACTAATGATGGGGCACCATCATTGGTATCAGTGGGAGGAATAGTGTCCCATCATTGGTGTCAGTGGGAGGAATAGTGCCCCATCATTGGTATCAGTTCGAGGAATCGTGCCCCATCATTTGTGTCAGTGGGAGGAATAGCACCCCATCATTGGAATACCATACTGAAATACCATACCATATTGAAATTAAATCTGATGTTTTTTAATATTAATTTGGTGTGTGTTGGGAAGAGGGTAGTCTTATACGGCGAGTATAGCCCAAACCCTATATTTTAACAGGAAAAGTAGGGGGTCGTCTTATACGCCGGAAATAAGGTATATATACATACATGTGTGTTATTTGCATTTATGGGTAGGGGACCCATGCCGCCATTTGTTGCTATAGATGTCAATCCCCAGGTCCCGGCCGAAGATTCCCCCACCGACACCCGGCAGGTGACAGGGGAGAGACCTGTGTGTAAACAACATAGGTCTCTCTTCTGCCAGCAGTAACATGCTGCTGTGTATTTCTCTGAATACAGCAGAGAAATACACAGCAGTATGTTTCCCACATAAAAACACACACAGCACATGTTGTAAAACAAAGCATAGCACACAGTTAACCTTTTGATCGCCCCAGATGTTAACTTCTTCCTGCCCAGTGTCATTAGTTCAGTGTCAGTGCTTTTTATTAGTGTCATTGGCAGTTGGTCAGTTCCCACCCAGTGTCAGAATGCCCCCGCAGTCCCGCAGTCCTGCAATAAGTCACTGATTGCCGCCATTTGTAGATGCTATAATTTTCACATAAACCCATTCATTTACACGTATTGGGATTATTTTTCAGCAAAGACATGTAGCAGATTACATTTTGGCCTAAATTTATGATGAAATTTGATTTTTAAAATTTTTTTTACTGGATATGTTTTATAGCAAAAGGTCAGAAAATATAGGTTTTTTTTTTGCAAAATTGCCAGTCTTTTTTTGTTTATAGCACAAAAAATAAAAAATGAACAGGTGATGAAATACCACTGAAAGAAAGCTCTCTTTGTGGGGAAAAATGGACACTAATGTCATTTATGTACAGCGTTGCATGACCGTGCAATTGTCAGTTAAAATACTGCAGTGCTGTATCACACAAAATGGCCTGGTCAGGAAGGGGGGGGGGGGGTAAATCCTCTGGAGGCCAAGTGGTTAAAATAGGATTATTTAGAAATAAGTAGATAACTGAATATGTGGGGTAAAAAATAATTGTTAAAACATGGCATTACCACAAAGTTTATAAGGACAAAATGATTAAGTTTCCAGGACATAATAGATTATTTTTCATACAAAGAGTCAATGAAGTCACTTTCTATCGTTGCTGGTAAAACTACTAAATTACATTTTTGAACAAGCTTAATAGAAAAGTGATTGTGTTTTGCAACCTTTCATGAAGATTAAATTAAGTGTCATAATTATATGCCATTTACATTAAAAATGCATGGCATTGCCATTGATTGAAAATGTTAATTTAGTAATGACAGCACAGAACAGAAGATTATAATTATTTGTGCTTTTATACTGTTCAGATGATGTTTTTCTACCCACTGAAAATCCCTCATCAAAATCGCCATTGTTCAAAGAGAATAGTCTGACGTGGAGGTGTCAAAAAGCAATGAAGGAAAAATGATAAACTAAACCAAAGCAAATTCAAACAAATGGTAGATTATTATTATTATTTTCTCATTTCACTTTAACTGGGTTTCACAATCAGACAGAGCTTCTGCTTAAGGTAAATGAATCATTTGCTTAGAATCTATGGAACACAGGTCTATCAATATTAATCTGCCTTCTCCTACCCCCAATTGCACTTATATTGTTGAGTCAAAAAGCACAAAGGATGCAGGAAGCTATTAAAGACGTGGCAGTATTAGAAATCGAACCATAGTGGCTTGTTGTTACGGCACTCTGACATTATTGGTTCTCGTAAACAGTTACATAATGTTCTGTGAAGTCATTTAAGAAGGACTTGTTCTGTAAAGGCTGTTAACTGAAGACAACATCTATGTTTAAAGGGACAGATCCACCACAATAGACTTTAAACATAGTAAATTATGTTGCAGTGATTTCTCTTCAAAGGCTATGTCACTGAATTGTTGGAGTGTTATATTTTTTATTTACTTTTATGGAAGTTAAATTTTCCTTTATAACTTAAATGGCATGTTTGTAAGAAAATAAAAATAGATTTAAAGCCCAGGTGAACCTCTTGTATTTAATACTGTAATGCAGTCAGGCTGCATATACAGTAATACACATGCAGCTCTTTTAGGTGCAGCTCCTTTAGGAATTCTTAGTTGCTAAATGCTGCAGCAGTCATTAAAACACCACATGGTGGCAGCACATTGAAGAATCAGACTGCTGGTCCTACAAACAATCCAGTGGTCTCCAGTGATCCAACATGCCTACATGGGGGTTGTTAGGCCACTGAAGACCCAACTCTGCTGCTATTGTGAGTGGAGTGGTCCAATTCTTCAATGTGATGCAAGCAAGGGCTATTTTAAACCTTGCTGAAGCTTTCTTTTTACTTCTTGTTTTCATAAATGTCATAAATTTTATTTTCAATCTATTTTTTTTTTATACCATGGTAACAGGTTAGGTTTTATAGCATATTTATATATATATATATATATATATATATTGCACTTAAATCACCTAAATTAAAAGATCAGAATTATTTCTCACATATATTTATCTCCTTTTTGCATTTACCACCTTTTCGCTTTATCTGCTTCTACCATCATGTGGTCACAAAACATATTATAGCTTTTTTTCACAGGTTTTTAAAAAACAAATACTATTTTACTAATATTGCACTCTTTTACTTTATTTGCTTCTGTTTTTTTTATCTCTGCGTAGGGCCTGTATTGACAGTTTTTTTTTTAATCAAAACTACTTCTTTCCCTGTCCAGCTTTAAGCAGGTTAAAGCAAGTCAGGATGAGGTCAATAGCTGATCAAGTACAAATACCAAAGTGCACACTTATATCCCATGGACAAATTAAACACCATCAATGCCACCATGTTAAGCAGTGGAGTCTAGTATTGTGAAGAAAGATAAAAAAAAAGGTGAAAATATACTGGTGTCAATGAGACAAAAAAAAAATCTATGTTTAATACAATAGATCCCCCACTTCAGGGGAGTAACGCTAGGAAAAAATGAGGCATGAGATAAAAAAGGCATGTTGACTAAAACCATAGGCAACCGGCATGAAGTAAAATCAAAGGATATGTGCATAACTAGGAGTGCTTGGTGACACATTTCATGGCTCCACCTTGAGAAAGAGGTGGGGCCTCGAAATACATTACAATGGAGATGGCTACATGCTCTGTGTAACCTGAAAGTAGGGAGGACACTGTACATCGGAGCTCCCAACGTTCACAGTGCTTGTTCCAGTGCTCCTAAATGGTTTGTCTACTGCCATCCACAACATGTGACACTGCTTCCCCCGGTTGTGTCCCTCATGGCTACATCCTTCTTTTATTCCCCCTTGATTGGCCACAAGTAGGGAGATAGGATCCCATTCCATCATTACTTTCACAGCTTCCAGAGGCACAGAATTTCTGTTGTCTTTAGCAACTGTCCATTGGCTCTACTCCTGATGCTGCCTGTTTGTTCATCTGGTTCCAGAACTGAAGAGGAATGTTTACTATGTTCATGAACTTGTGCTTATATCTATATACATTGATTTTGCTTCATGTCCATTGCCTATGGTTTTTACCACCATCCCTTTTTTGAATCATGTCTAGTTCTTTGCCAGGGCTACTCCTCTGAAGTGGGGAATCAACATCAGTCTAGACTTAGATTTTTGTTTTTATCACTGACACCAGACATACAGTCCAATAACAGTGGCTGAAAAAAGGACCTGCAGCTCCAAATCAGGTACAGGACAACACAATAACACACTGGATTATGATCATAGGAACTATGAATGTACTCACAATTGTAAGAGACACTAAGGCTTTTAATAAATCCAATGGAAACTTGTGGCAATGAACCTCAAGCTTCAGAATGTCCTTCTCAGTGTGCTATTGGATACTTTAATGTATATGTAAAACCCTCACCTTGTAAAACAACCCATTCAGTTTAAAATAGAAATGAAATGCAAAACAACTGTGTATAGATATAAAAAACATTCTAAATACCTTTTTCCCCTGTTTTATAAGTGATCACATACTCCCTACGCTCTTATTTCAGCTCAGAACAGAGAGCTTGGGGAGAAGAAACAACAGTACACCAAACTTCTAAGTGAATGGTTGTGCAGGGTGCGGGCATCTCAGGACAAGTCTGATCACTGGAGGTAGAGTACACTGAGCTCCCAGCAGAGCTAGAGAATGGACCATGCTTTGCTTTCATGCCTATTGTAGTCAGTATTTAATAGGACAGCTGTGAGAAGGAACTCCAGGGATTGTACACGAAGGAAGCAATACAAAGAGAGCAGGATACTTTTTCGTACGAGTACATGGTACAGAATATCAAGAATATGAAATTTTGGGTTTACATGCTGTGGGGAGATCATGAAGTCTGCTTTATCAATGGATTCAGCAATTTCTTAATCACTCAGTTCTGATAGAACATGAAATTCAGGGGGAGAAATGCAGTGCAATCTAGTTCATTAGGGAACCTTACATTTTATTTTAAAATGGTTAAAATTGCTTATAGACAGCTGTTTGCTGTGCATCCTACTGACCCTACCCAGAAGAAAGCACTGCACCGCCAGAGGTTTCTGCCCAGCACAGATACTGACACTCCAGAACTCTTTATATGCTGCACCACAAGTGGATACCTGTTAGTGATTTTAATCATTTCTTCTAAAAATTTGAGTTTTAATACACTATACTGCTTTCTTTCATATATATATGTTCTCACAGCACAGAATGGCAATTGAATTGAGTAAATCTGAATATTTTTTTTTTTTTATGACAAATGCAATCTCCATTTGACACAAGCCTAAGGCCAGGTTCACACCTGTGCCTTTTTTATGCATTTTGCAGGAACGCAGTGCATACCATTTATCATGATTTCTGATGCATCACATTCACATCTATGTGTTTTTTGCGGGTACATTTTTTGGAAAGGGTCAGGGACTTCTTTTTCCGCAGGTGTTTGCGTTTTTAGTTTAATAGACTTCAATGGAACAACATATAGAACGCACGTGCTGCATTTTGCGTGCATTTTTATGT